TTTAGTGTTTTAAGAGTTTTTGAAAAAAAAAAGAAGTATTATTGTTACTATTAGTCGTTTATTTCATTTTATTATTAAGCAACGTTGTATTAAATATTATTTAAAAAATTGTTTTATAAAAAAAAAGTTTGTTTAGGTCCAATTAACGTTTTTTATTTACTGTTTTTTGTTGAAATATTTTTTTTTGTTTATTAGATATTAAGTTTTAAAAATCATTTATTAAAAAAATTATTATTTGGGAAAAAACTGTTTTGAAAGACAATTGGGTCGGTTGCATTAAAAAACTTGTTTTCTTGCTGTAATAAAAAAACAGCGTTGTTGAATAATCAAATAGCGCATGCCTAATTCCATATAATATGCGTAAGGCCCAAAACTAATAACATTTACTATTCCAATTAGTCAGGATTTTACGCATGTTTTGTGGCATGAACATTTACTATTCAAATTAACAATGAATCAAATCTTTTGCAAAATTTACAGCTCATGCCAAGAAACATTATTGTAAAACAAAATCTGGATACCAATTCAAATTCAAAGCAATTACAAATACCAAATCAAATCCAGAAAATTACATAACTAAATCCGAAAAATTACAGTAAACAAAATCTAATATATTACTCAATCAATTACAAATTCTAACAAAATCAATTACAATTTGAATCCCTAATTTCTATGATTCATTCCTAAATTTGTGCTAAACAATCTAACAACAACCTAAAAACCTATAAATTCTAATTGAAAATACAATAAAAAAGGGGGGAGGGTTCAAATTATAGAAGAAAAATTAACAGCAAGAAAAAGAGCTTGAATACAAATAAAGCTTGATATAGAGACTGCAAAGCTTGGGGACTGAAGGACGGAATCGCAAAGAGAAAGGGAAGACCAGTGTCGTCGTTAAGGAAGAGAAGGACGATTAGGGTTACATTATCTGAAAGCAAAATCGTCGTTGCTAACCACCACTGCTAGCGCTAATCGTTGTCGTCGTTACTCTACCACCAGAACCTGCAAAAAAAACAAAGAAGAAGAAGAGATCATCACCGAATCGGCTAAACGCTCAGAAGTCAAAACGGAAACGCAAAGGGTAACTTAGCTTGCTTTTATTCTAACTATGGATTTGGGGTTTGTGGGGGATTTATGTTTGGAATCGGGTAAAGGGTAAGCTCCGCTGTGGGGGAAGGTTAGGGTTTGTGAAGGTGGGGAAAGAGGTTTGAGTGTCGCGAGAGAGAAAGATGAAAGGATGTTGTAAACTGAAAAGAAAAATGAAAAAATGATATTAAACAAAAGCTTGCATTCTGTTCGATTCGATACACATGCAGCCATGGCATTATCATATGCCTTCGTATCCCATCCATTGAATCTCCATTGAACGACCAAGAGGCCAGGTTCACCGCATAACCATGCACCCTCGCCACACCCAATCGAACTGGCCTTTCTAAACTGTGTATTGAGCCAAGCCCATTGCGTTTAACACCTCCCTTTATGTTTTTATTACTAACCCATCAATTCACACCCCCCACAAAAAAACATATTTGGGCCTAGCCCAGTCTACTAAAAACACCCCCTATCTTTTACTTATTAACTAGAAATTGCACCCCCTTGGCTAATTAACTTAGTTTATATTTTTTATAACTCATAATTTTTATTTATATTTTATTCCTAATATATTTTATTCTTTTTTTATAATAATAATAATAATTATATTAATTATTATATTATTATTATTTATTATATGTAAATATTATTATATTAGCATAAATAAATTATTTTTATTCAAAACTCGTGCATGTATTTTCTTTCAATATTTGCATTAAAATATTTTTAGTCATGCATTAATAATTTTTTTTTGCAATTGATACGATTAAAAAATACTAACCAATCTCAAACTATTTTTCGCAATCAACTAATCTAAACAACTATTTTTGCAAAAGGGTTTCAAACGGATTTTGACTAATTGTGCATTTAGTCAAAATCTTTGCAATCACTACAACCGGTCAAAGTGAGAGGTGATTCAAAATACATTTGCAACCCCTAAAAAATACCAACCCCATACGAACTACGAATTGAGACTCTGATTCCTCATAACAGAAAACGTAGGCGAGGTGATTAAAAATTATGGCGAGTTCTCCTAATAATACTTAAAACTCTATTTTACCCCAAACCTAAATCTAAAATCTAGTATCCTTGTGAACAAGGTAGATGAAAGGTGCCTAACACCTTCCTTTCGTCTAATAGAGTTCGAAACCTAGAATCTCTGTCTGTGAATTAGGGTTTCCTATTAGATGCCCTTCCTTAGGATAAAAATTAATAGTGGCGACTCTAATTTAAAAACTAGTCGCAACATCATGGTGGTGGAATGAAAATGTTAAGAGTAAAGTTAGAGTAAAAAAAGTATTTTAAAAAAGGGTATATATGTAAAATATCAAAACTTGAGAAAAGTATAAGAACGCTAAAGAAGGCTAAGAAAGAGACCAAGAAGGTGATGAGTGAAGCAAGAAGTCAAATTTTTAACGATATATACCAATCCTTAGGAACCAATAAGGGAGAAAAATTTGTATATAGACTTGTAAAGGGAAGAGAAAGAAAGACAAGAGATATGAATCAAGTGAAGTGTGTTAAAAATGAATAAGTAAAAATTTTGGTTCAGCAAAATGATATAAAAGATAGGTGAAAGATGTATTTCTACATTTGAACATATTTGACAATATTGAAGATGATCAAAACTATAATTACTATTGTCTAATTCAAAAACAATAAGTAAAAGAAGTGTTGAAAAGAATGAATAATAGTAAGGTGGTTAGACCAGAAAACATACCCACTAAAGTATGGAAAATTATTGAATGTGAAAGACATTTAGTGATTGATTAAACTCTTTATTGAAATTATGAAGTTAAAACAAATGTTGAATGAATGAAAAAGAAGCATTTTAATTCTAATCAGTAAGAACAAAGAAGATATACATAATTTGACAAATTATAAAATGATTAAACTTATGAGTAATGCCAAGAAGTAATGGGAAAGAGTCATTGAACATAGACTAAGAAAAGAGACTTAAGTTGTTGATAATCAATTTGATTTTATATTTGGAAAGTTGATCATGTTAGCGATCTATCTACTACGACGTATGATGGAGCGGTATCAGATGAACTAACAAGACTTACACTTAATTTTCATTGACTTGGAAAATGTATGATAAAGTGTCTAGAATTTTTTTGTAAAAAGTCTTAGAAGAAAAGGATTAGGATTGCATATATTCAAGCTATCTAAGATACGTATGAATGGGTATCAACCTATGAAGCCCGGACTCGAACACGAGTACGACACGGACACGGAGACACTGGTAATGTAAAAAACATAGAACACGGACATGGCTATATATATTTTATATATTAATAAAATAATATAATTTATGAGCATAATTTATGAAAAGTCTAAAATGAGAACTAAAATTTATATTTATTTAAACTTAGTACTTTCAATCAACAAAAAAAAGACTTAATTTGAATACTTTCAATTAAAAAAAATTATCTAAAACAAAATTATACAAATCATATCATAATCACTCCACTTTGAAAAAACAAGTCTCTAAGTCCATCTCATCCAAAAACAAGTTATATGTTATATGTAATTAACATATAACATGAATGAAACAAAGACAAATAACATATAATATATATGTAAAACATAAACAAAACACACAGACAATCTCCAAATAATAACACGAGTGAAACAAATAATAACACGAGTGAAACATCATCGTCGACGTATGTAATTAACAACAAGAAACATAGACAAATAATAATGAAAGAAAAGGAATGAGTATCAGAAGAGAATGAGTGAAATATCGACGGTGACGACGATGGAACACCGGCGTGCAACGAAGATGAAAAAACAAGGCATATGAGTTGTTTTTATAGTGAGAAGTGGAATATGAAATGTAAAAAAGAAAATCAATTCTGAGAATTTGAGAGATTGGTGTGTCTCTTATTTGAAATAGTATGTCGTATCTGTGTTCATTGTGTTTCAATTTGAAATGATATGTCATATCGAAAACGTGTCTGATACATGTCGTACACACGTCAGTGTCCGATACATGTCCGGTGCGGGGACACACCTTCTAATTGGTGTGCCAGAGCTTCATAGGTATCAACTAATGTATGGACACAGGATGGAGACATGTGATTTCTCCACTACAATAGGATTAAGCCCCAACCTTTTTACTTTTATTTTCAATGTACACACAAAATATCTTAAAACTAGCACTGAAATGTATATTTTTTTGTAGATGATATATTTTTACCGAGAGTTGAATGAAAATCTAAATGAGAAGTTGAAGACTTGTAGATGAGCTTTATAATCGTGTGACTTTTACCTAAGCAGAAGTTAGATAAATTATATAATATGTATCTTAAGAAAAAGGAGAATTGTTTATAACCTACAATCAAAATTCAAAATTCAATATCATCTTACAGTTTAAGAAAAAGGAGAATTGTTTATAACCTACAATCAAAATTCAAAATTCAATATCATCTTACAGTTTAATTATCTTTGGTCTGTAATTCAAAATGATAAAGAAATACAACGGGATGTAAACTATCATATTCAAATTTGATTGAAATTTCATCGGACACTGATAAGAAATGTAAATGTTGTATAAATTAATTCATATTTTTTCTCTCAATTTTGCTACTTCTATTTTATTTGGAAGGAAAAAAAAATTAGAACTTATTACATATGTTGATCATACTACATGCGACTTGAGCCTCTAAACACTCCAAAATAGTTTCGATTAACAGTTTTACATCACATTCACAAATCATCATAATTAAACATATCCAACACCAAACATATACATAAACATCATATCAGTTCATAACTCAATACAACAAGTTCAAACTTTACAATTTCAACATCATCAATATATCAATATCATCATTACAACATCATAATACCATCATGTTCAATTTTTTGTTTTATTATTAAAAAAAAAATAAAAATAATTACTAAGCTCTGTATTTCTGAATCTTGTTTTTGAGTTCATCTTTCTTCGCACCAACAATCTTATCAACCTCTTTCCCATTCTTCAACAACAAAAACGTCGGCATAGCCTGCACCTTAAACTCCTGCGCAACATCCTATTATTTCCCCCCAATAACAAAAAAAATAATTAAAAAACATTATAAATATATAAATTAAAATTAATATTAAAAAAAAAGAAAAATTCATTGAAACCAAATTAATTAAAAGTAATAATTTTACAGATAATTCGTCAACGTCGATCTTGATGAATTCAACATCCGTGAATTCGTTAGCGAAAGCATGAACAATCGGTTCCATCATTTTACACGGTCCACACCACGTAGCAGAGAAATCAATGACAACCTTTTCAGAAAATCAGAATCGATTCAGATCTGAAAAATTAGGTTAAAAAAAGGGGAGAAATTGAGAAATCGAGAATTGAAGAGGTTTTTAGGGTTTACGAGTTTAGACGAGTCTTTGATTTCGTTGAAGTGGAGTTGCCAGCGTGCGGATGAGTGGAATGTTTTGACGGAATGATCGGAGGATTCTGATGATTGTGAGGGGGCGGCGGCGGCGTCGCCGGCGAGGAGGGAAGAGAGAAGTGAGCCCATTGGTTTGTGCGTTGACTTGCTTGATAACTACGCTTTTTTGTGAAAGAGATTATTATTACAATGGCTTCTTCATGTTTTTATAGTACATAGTATGTGATATTCCTTTATCCTTTAGCATCATTCTTTTTTTTTTTTATTTAAAAAAGACTATGGTTACAACTTACAAGTCCTTTAAAATAAATAAATTCCAAACCAACTAATTTTTAAATTTTTTTTTAATTGAAGTATGGTGTTGGTTCAATAGATGAGGAATTGAGCAATTCTAGAGTGTAGAAACCTATTAGTGCTTCCACCACCATTTGTATGATGTTTGTATAACTATTATTTAATAATTTACTTTTGGCTTAAATGTATTTATGTTTTTGTTTTTTTAGTTTGGACATTTTAAACAATTGATCTTTTATTATAAAATTAATGATTTTGATCCTTTAATTTAGAAGGTTTTTGAATTTATTTGGTCTTCTATTCAATTTGCTTAGGTGTCATGTTCATTAATGAGATGGCACTATGTTTATGAATCCATGTTATCGATTTAGATTATTTTTAAAACAAATTCAATAACTTAATTAGTAAAATATTGTAAAAACATTTAATTAAAAAAATAATATTTAATTATTTTATAAATCTAAAAAGAACAAAGTTTTGTAATGTTCTTCGTCATCTTCTTCGGTCTTTTAAGTTTTTTTAAAAATTCATCTTTTTCTTTAAGCTCTCAAATCGTGAGATACTCATCATCAAATCCAACTACTAAAATATCACAACAGTCTGTTTTTAGTCATGAAAATAGATCTTCAAATTGTTTAAGGTACGCATGCAAGTGTGGTTTGGATGCTCCATTGATGACGATATGGACGGGTGCAAACCCATGTCGTCATTTCTATGGATCTGGGATGAATAAGGTATGTATAACTTTCTGCAAATTATTGCTCGGTATTTAGTTTGGGTTTTATTCATCTTCATCTCCATTGATATTTACAGATTCAAGGCTACAAGAAATACAATCACTTTATTGGTTGGTTAAGGAGATGAATTCTAGGGAAAAAGATTTAATCTCTGCACTATTAAAGAAGTTGAATAAAGAGAAGGAGATGATTAACTCATAGAAAGCAAAAGAAGAAGAATTGAAGATGAAAGTTAAGATGTTGAAGAAATAGTTGAAGATAAATTGGATGTTGTTATTCGTCATGTAGTTTGCATTCGTTGGAACAATATTGATGAAATATGTTTTAGTTGATTAGGTTTTAGGTTATGTTTCTATGTTGTTTGTTGTAACGATGTGTTAGTTAGCAATGTGAATTATAATACTTTCTGAACAAAGTTAATGTTATTGTTAAAATTATTGATATTGTTCAAGTCTTTGATATGGTTAAAGTTACTGAATAATGCATTGTAATTTGACTGCATAATGCATAATTTTGGTGGTAACTTGCCTTGTAATTTGACATGTAATATGACATATAGTTTGGACCTGTAATTTTAGAAATCGAATGGGGGGTTGGTTTTAGGATCGATTCATAACACACAATAAGTGATTAAAATAAGTGATTATAAAAATAAGTCGATCTACTGTTTTTAGGTTCCTGCTAATCATTGGTTTTTACCTTATCAATTCTCTAAGCGGCTTCGACCTCTATTCGATTTCAATACCAATTGACAAGCGCAATAAATATAAAATATATTGAATTTCCATTCTGAATTAAGCAAACAAATTAATATAATCGTGAATTAAGCAAACACGATATAGAACGCGATTTAACGACTAAGCGATGTAAACGACGATTAAAGATTAGGAATACAATCATACGAATTTAATCAAGAAATTCCATGAAATAATAGATTAATAAAATACAATTTCATAAAATAGAATTGAAAGAGAAACGAAAGTGAATTGATAAATTAAAAACCTCAAAGCATCGGAACGCGATTACAGTAGATCAACTATGGATGATTAGTTCTTCATTCAAGCGTACAAGTCAAAGTTTTTTTCTTCTGAATAATGAAAGGGTAAAAACTAAATTAATGTAGCGGCTTCTAGGTATAGCAAGGACAAGGATTCGGTTTATAACCCAACTGGGTCGAAAACATAACCCAGATAAAAAACAAATGACCCAAAACTTAAATATAAAATTCTGCAACTTCAACGAATTTTATGGCCCTGCTACAGTCCGATTCAGCTCTCGACTTCTGAATGAAAATCGTAGCTATTTCTCTTAGATTTCCAACGACTGGTAGCACACCTCATTTCGACTTCTGTAGCTCAAGTTATGAATTTATTCGTGCAGACTACTAATGCTGAAAATAAAGTGCGAAAATCAAATATGAGTAGAAATAAACTAAAATAGAAAAACACTATAAAATACAAAAATAAGCTAAACAACCCATGGAAATGCATAATTACAATCATGAAATAATATGCATCATAATGCACTGATCAAATTCCTCCACACTTAAACTTTTGCACTCCGAGCAAAATAAAATCAAAAGAAACACAACAACATCATCAGCTACTCATTCTAGGCTACAAACTCTTCTTCGGTTAAGATTACATCAATAGGTGCTAATCTTGCACACTAATGATATCGTAGGAACACTAATCTTGTCTCTTGAATATGCAAACCAATTCGAATCATATTATTATGCCAAAGTCTAACTTACTCATCCCCCCTTTTTGCTCTTTTTCATTCAGGCGCAATCACATTAAGTCTGTTATCTCCATACACTCATAGCAAGAAGACCGGTTAGTGACTGATCCTTTTTGCACGGGGTTCTGGTACTTACGTGGCATAACCCTTTTCTTACTCGGTTGTAGTTGCGGGGGATCGGACCGTAATCCGCCCTACCAAGTTCAGCACCAGAAACTGCTAGACCAACTAACAACGAGTCTTATTATCAACTTTTTTTGTAGGTTCTACGACCGTTGGGTTAAGTGACCGGGTGAGGGTCACCAAACTTAGAAGGCACATTCCTTTTTATTTCCTTTTTTTTCAAATAAAACTTAAATCACTCACTTATTTTCATCGACTTCCCTGTGTAGAGTGCGTGTGAGATGGTGCTGACTGCTGAAATAAACTACTCAAGAGCTATTAAAAGATGAGAATTCAAGACTACGTCATAATAAAAATTCAAATTAACTTCCATATGCATGAGACTTACAGTTAAGATGATACCGATTGTGATACAGTGGGAGAACTGACTTGAGGTTTTGCGTTTGTGTTCGCAAATGTTTCGGTTTAGCAAGAGTCGCCACCGACTTTTTATTTTATCCAAAGGAAAGGTCAAAAAGCACAGGAAAGACCTTTGAGATGTTTTCTTGGGTTCGGGGGGTAGATTATGAAAAGAGAAAGTGCAAGCACCCTTTTCATCCATGGTTATCCATGAGCTCTTTGTTACTTGTTTAGATCACTTGCTTTTGCTTTTCAATTGTTTGAAATGGTGCTTTGTGTGTGGTTTTGAAAATATTTTGAAAAGAGGTCATCGTTGTGGCAACCTTTGTAATGATTCTTGTTTGAATGTATACAAAGGTGTATTGTCTTTTTGAAAAGATGTTTCAATGTTCGAAAGTTTTTTTTTGGGAAATGTTTTGAAATTATGTTGTGAGGTATGTTTGAAAATAGCAAGGATGTTTTTGCAAATTTTGATCAAGTAACTAAGAGTTGTCTACTCTATCTACTCAAAGATCTTTCCTACACATTTTTAACCCTTTTGACAGTGTTGTTTTACCATTGCATTTGGTAAATAACCTTGTATTTGGATGTTAAACGGGACAGGCGCGGGTCATCGTATTGACCATGATAGCAATAGTGCTAAGTATCTTTAGTAATTTTTTGAGGGATTAGATCATTTTTGTATAGGCAACCAAGATAGCGTCATCGAGGGACTATGATCTTTTGTTTTGTTTTTGTTTTACCAAGATACTCAACATGCATACCATGACCATTTTAAAGGCAACAAGTGGATGAAACCCTAGGGGTGTATGTGTGCATTGTGTTATCATTTTCATGCATTTTTTGTCTTGTTTTTAGGTCTAACTATTTGTTTTGATTTTGGATATTGCATACAAACCCTAATCTCTATCATGACATATTTGAAAGCATAAGTGCGTAAAAGTAATCTAGGCTATTACAACATTGATATGGGGAGGGGGATACAATTTTGGATAGGGGATTATTTGCAAGAAAATAAACCCTAAGATTTACTATTACATCCAAATTGAACTCTTTGCATCAAATAATAAATAAGTAATATTTAAATAAGCAATTTAAATATAAATATGCAAAATATTATAAATATGTAAAAAATATTTTTGTTTATTTTTATGTATGTAAAAATAAAATATTTAATGCATCAAAAAAATAAAATGAAAAGTTATTTTTGTTAAGGGTAAAACCCTAATTTTTGGTTTAAGAATATGTATGTATATTATAATATTTATTTATTTATGTACAATAAAATAAATAAAAAATATTCAAGTGTCAAAAAATAAAATATATTAGGAAAAATATTATTTTCAATAAGGGTGGAAACCCTAGTTTTTTGTTTTAAGATAATATATATTATATTATTTATTCTATGTACAAGAAAATAAATATAAATATATACAAAGATATTAAGAAATAAAACATGTGAAAAAAATATTATTTTATATGTGTAAATAATAAAAATAAAAGTATATAATATTTCTATAATATTTATAAGTTTTTATTAAAGAAAATAAAAGTATATACTATTTAATAATTATTTTTATGTCTAAAAAATAATAAAAAATAATAAAATAAAATGTGAAAATTTATGAAAATGTTTTTGATATTTTTTTTATGTTTAAAAAATATAAAATAAAATCAGAAATGAAAAATAAATAGAAAAATACAAAAATATAATGAAATGGGCCAGGGGGTGCAAAAAGTAGATCAGGGGGTGCAAAAAGTCATGCCAAGCCCAGCCCAGTTACAGCTTCGTCTTCAACCTATGATTCAAAAATACGCGCGCCTGTGTACAAATGT